AATATTCCCATCATCATCAACGAAGAACCAGAGTTGATATCCTATCTGGCGCTCGGCGCCCAGACTACATGTGGCAGATCCTATCTAGCCTATACTATGAAGCCGAAAGATGGCATCAACAACATTCCCGAAGTACGAGCATATGGCGACCAATGTCGCACGCTTCCAGCACCAGGTATGTCTCGCGCTACACTCGCAACCTCGTTCCCCAACTCACAGATGCCACTAGCACCCAAGGACCACCCTGCGTCTCACCCAGCTTACAGCAGCGCAGCTCGGCTATGGCTGCGTGCTCCTTCCCTGCTCGCCCGTGAGAGCATAGGCGCCAGCCAGCAAATAGCGCAGCAGCAGCGCTTGCGCAGCATGGAGCCAGCACCCGAATGCCGAATGAGGAGGCAGGCCCTTTCCTATATCGAAGTGGCCTGCCTGCGTCCAGTCCCAGGAAGCTTCCAGTAGGCCCCGGTAGCCTGAGGCCCAGCACGACGAGAGCAGGCCTTGGGCCTGAGGTGGTTGCACGTGCCCAACTGCCTTCGGCCTGTGTCTGGCCCGGTACCCGAATCCATCCCAGGGCCTGCTTCACATACATTCACACAGGCGGCCCAGGGCCTGGGTTCACTCAACCAACTGGCGCTGCGCAACTGCCTGAATTTCCCTGAGTTGCGTGGTGGCCAGAAAAGGGCCCTGAGGACCTCGTCGAGCCTGCCTTCACACAAGAATGAAAAAAAAGTGAATAGGAGTCTAAGAGAGGGAGAAAAGACAAGGAAAAGACACAAGCATTAAAATTGGAACAATACAGAGTAGATCAGCAACGCCATAAAAATTGGAACGATACACATGCAACGAACCTGCACATTCTCAGTGAGCTGTACGCTAACAGGGTCTGTTTTGTAATTTCCCTTGCTTTCGGTCCCTCACTGGTAACTGGAACAGGCCTGGACCTACGGGTATATTTCTGTAAACTCCTAGAATTTTCCTGAACAGGCACTTCGGGTCCTACAGCATCAATCCAAGTCTAAGCCAACTTTCGCTGCTGCCTGGGACTGGTGCCGCTACTGGAAATTGACAGCCATTTGTTTCGTCGATTCTAGGGTCCCGTCCGATAGGAAGTAGAGGTTAGAAATAGGTCGAGTGAGATAGGGAACGGGTTCTTTTGGGTTATTTTTCACCTCGATCATTTTTGGAGTTGTGGCAGGGAACGCTGCTGCGCTATTTGCATTGACGCAGCCTCCTTCTTCAAGGAATAGCGGCCATCGCTGGAGGGCGCGCGAAGGCAGCGATAGCTGCATCTTCTTCATCGAGCGGTCGTTGCTTCTTCTTCCTTCGGGGAGCCTGCTGCTGCACTTCTGTGCGGCTGCTGTTCAGGCGCTTCAGATTTGGTGGGCACTGTTCAGAATAGCTCTGGGGTGATGGCGCTGGTAGTCTGCAGCTGCCGGCAGCTGCTGGCATCCATGGCCAAGTTTGTGGAGGAGTGAGGAGGAAGAAGGAGACTCCTGATTATTTGATGCACTGTCGTTTGGGAATGGTTCAGGGTTGTTAAAACGCGGTGGGATTCTTGGATTTTGGGGCCTGATTGAGGTGGAGAGAGACGGGGGATTTTAAGAATTGAAATACTTCTCTCAATTCTATTTCCGCATTGGATTAAGGCTGCACCTATTCCATCTCGGTGTGGTTTGAAATCTCTCGTTTGGGAACGGTTCAGCGTTGTTGAAACGCAGTTGGGATTCTTGAATTTTGGTGGCTGATTGAGGTGGAGAGAGACGGGGGAGTTTTAAGAATTGAAATCATACATGGGGCGCACTCGTTGTGCATCAACCCCGCACACACGCCGCACTGAGCATCACGCACCGTGTGCGGCGCACTAAGAAATAAAGGGGTCGTCGGGTCGCTGAAAAAAAAAAGTGTCAGGGGCCGGTAGCTGGGATGTCTGGGGTGGGGCGTGTAGAGTTTCCGGTACCACCATTTTCTTTTTCCGGGCCGCGCTCAGGCCCGAGAAAAAGATTCGGGGGGATATCTAAGTAGTTCATTTTTGAACTACTCCTACCTCCCCCGTGTCGTTGTGCCAATGTGCTCTGTTTCGAATGTCTTTGGCCTTGGCAAGCCATTAGTTGCACGTCGTCGCCGCGGTCGTGGTTGTGCCATCTGCAGGTGCCATCCCCAGCGCAGCCAACGAAACCAGCAGCAGAGCAAGAAGGACTCTTCGAGGCTTCCAAGGTGGGTCGCCACCGGCCCCTCC